CCAGGCAAGTCTATCTATAGGCTATGTTTTCATGAGTATTCCTGGATGCACATGGGTGCAAAGTGGGCCCCGTGTGTTATTTGAGTTTTTGGCTCCAACTTTAGGAGGGAAAAATATTTCCTGAAGAGGTTGACTAAGTAAACTTTGTTGAAGTTACGGGTTGCACGTGGAGCAGGGGTGGATCTCATTTTTGGTAATTGGTTATGTGGGGGACCCACGGGTTTTGGGCACGTGTGGGCTTTTTGCCCATTACCTCGTGTAAAAACCAGCTAATGGTTTTGGTTTTGTGGTTGAAGTGGGGCCCATCCACTATTCAACTTTTTGGTGGTGGGGCTTTTGTGTAGCTTAATTGCTGGGCTAGTTGCCCTTTAAAAAAATTCGGTTCTATTGTTGTTCAACCATGGGTATGAGCTGACGTCGTAAATTTTTGAATCTTGCCCATATATTCTTTCCCAAGTTTTCATCTATTATTCTGGATTGTAGAGGTTACTTGGGAATAAAAAATGAATATATGGGCAATTTGCAATCTTTTTATGCTTTATTCTTTAGGTACCCTGGTTTGGCATGGGTTAGTGAGAGAAGCTCTGACATCTCTCTAGAAAACTCTTGTTTTCTAGGGTTCAATATCTCATTGATTGCCGATGTCTAGAGTAAAGGCTACCATTAATGATAGAAAGGTGGGGGAAAATGCTAAGGGTGAGTCTGTAAAGATATCTGGTCTGGTTGATCGGAATCTAGGGTTTACTAAGAATCGTTTTACGACCTTGTGTGACGAATTGATGGCTTCTGAAGCAGACCTTTCTACACCTAGTGGCGAGGGTGCTTCAACCGTAGATCGCAGTGTTGGTTCTCCGATGGTAGATCTGCCCAGTATGGAGGCTCATAACCAGGAAGTGGTAGTCAATGTTGAGGCAAATCGTTCTGAAGTAATGGGTGTTTCGGCTCCGTTATCGGAAATAGTGGGATCAGACCTATCTAAATCCCCAATCGATGACGGATCTAAGGATGTTGTGCAGAGCTTGGATAAAATGAAGGCTCCGATGTTCCCAGGTCGTGGTCAAGAACCATCTACGCCGATTGGTAATGAGATTGGCACGAGTTGGTCTGAAATCGTCGAGGAAGAGAATAATAGCTTCCTGAATCTCCCCGATAGCCTGGAGATCGCGCGTAACAGGGGGGGAACCAAGAATAGTTTTGCTCTGAGTGATCCTAATATGGCTCCTATCTCTGAAACCCAGATTCCTCTTGGAGAGTCCATTCACGGGGGTGGTGGTAGGGGGGGAAGCAGTTATCGGAGTGGGAGAGGAGGTCGCGGGGGCTCTAGTGGTAGCAGAACAGTAGAGCAAAATGGACCAAGGAAACCGATCATGGGCCAATGTTACTGCTGCATCTACTCGATCAAACATCAAGCTCAGGTATGTCCCTCCAACTACTGTAGAAGATAGTATTGTGGTAGAAATGCCAGCAAGACTTGATCCTTTGGAGAAATGGGATTCCTGTCTCGTTGGCTATTTTATTAATAAAGGAGTTGGGTATAATTATCTTCGGAACAGTGCGTTTGGGATGTGGAAGGCTAAGGGCCTTAAGGAAGTTCTCACAAATGGGGATGGCTTCATGTTCTTCATATTTGATACCCCTGAGTGCTGTAGAGACGTTCTAGAGGAAGGCCCATGGTATATTGGGGGTTATCTAGAGAGGGGATTAGGTTGAGAAAGCTTTATCCGTTGTTACCCATGGAGCTTGAGGGTCCCTTATCAGATTCGTTGTCTGGTTTGGGTGGTGTTGTATATTGTTTCTGACTCTGGTCTTTTTGTCCAGATTTAGGAGGGTTCGTTTTGTTTGTGGGACCTTGCTTTCGTAAAGATGTATCTCTGGTTTCTGTTCTGGCCAGATGGTTCTGTCCTGTCTAGGCCGGCAACTTCTTTGTTTGTGGGACCTTCCTTTGTTTGGGTTCATGGTTCAGTGTCTAAGGGTGTGGTCTTTGCCCGGGCTTCTATTTTGTTGTTACCCCTCTCTCTAGGTCTTTCTACAGATTTTTCGAGAGAGGGATGAGTCATCGGGAATGTAATCTGGGTTTGAGGAGCTCCGGTCGTGGGTGGCGCCATGGTTGTTTGCTCCAAGGTTTTGGTTTGTTGTGTGCCGCTGATGGTTTTTTTCTTCATCAACGGTGCTGGATTGTGCGACGCTGGTCTGTGTTTGCTCTGGTAGTGGCCTGTGGTGCGTGCTAGCTGCTGTGGTTGTGAACCTTCATCGTCTGTTAGTTTTTTAAACTTTCTAGCGGTAGGTTATGTTCAGCCGAGTGAAGCTTGTCAACGATGGCCTCCTGTTAGTGTGGTGGTCTACCGTCTCGGTTTGTGCAGGGGGTCCTCCGGTACTGGTTTTGGTCTCGAATTTGTGAAGATGTCTTGCCGTAACGGCAGTGTTGGGACACCTCCGGTGCAGACGTTACCGATCTCGTCGGAGGTGGTTGTAACGCTGGAAGAAAATCCCAGCTACGGGGTGTATTATTTTCCAGTGTTCTCTTCATCGGTGATGGTGCTGAGTTTCGGTGCTGATGCTACAGTGTGTAAGGATTTAGTGGATGTTTTCGAGGTTGGAGTGGTGGCTACGCGCCTTTGGTGCGTTTGTCATTACGGTTTTGTGTCCAAAGTATGGACTGATGCGACCTTCAGCCGTGTAAAGCTGAGGCTTTGTTTGCTTGGAAGACCCGCTGCCAGCTAGCAAGGGATTTGGAGGGATTTTCAAATATCCTCTTCTTTTCTGTTTTGGCTGGTTTGTCAATATTTATATATAATATATGCATAGTGGCTTTTTTGTCTTTAATATTTATATTTATATATAATATAGGCATAGTCAAATACGTGGGCCCTTTGCACAGGGGGGATATTTTTGGCCCACGGTTTTGTTGAGCACATGATTTTGTGATGTGGTTCTTTGAGGTGGGTCCCGCCACTTTCTAATAGTGGGCTTTTGTCCCATTTCCAATCAACTTTTGAGCTGATGTGGGGCAAGAGGAGTTTGTATATATAACTTGGTGGGTTACTGGTTTATTGTGTTGGTTTGTAGTTGGGCCACGGATCTACCACAGATATTTTTTGGGCCTGTTCGTGGGCCACCATTCTTGGTGAAGATCTAGGCTTTGCATGGTGTGGGTTACTGGGGGCTGTCTGTGGGCCACCATTTTAGTCACTTTGCAGCGGATTATATATAGTCGATTTTATCTTGTTGATTGATCGTGTGATCCTCATGTGACTCGATATGAGGTTAGTTTTGAGCCATCTCCGCCAAGAGTGATTGAGGGGTCACTGCTATGGGGAATAGTGGTTCGATAACTAGCCGAGTTAGAGACTGGGAGATGAGCGGGAGGATAGCTACCGGTTTCAGTTGCTTCTTGTCTTCATGTGACCCATCCTAATTGGTCGTATTGCCACGCCTGACATGGAGTGAAGGGCACACTGCCGTGGGGTTTGAGGCTTGTGATCTACTAAGGAAGGGACTGGGGGATGTGATGATTGATCTCAGGTTATTTTTTGGCTATGTATCGGTTTGTTGCTGTGGGGATACCGTTGTCACTTCGACTCACAAGACTGTTGCTTATGGTTACTGATCGTGCTAGCTTCATGTGATTCTGTCGGGATTTCTCATGGGGTAGATTTTTTCCTCTGTCATGGCTTTTGTTGAGTGGCTAGGATGTCACGGCTGTGAGGAGTGGGATGCTTATTGGATTCCATGTGTTGATCTACGGTAGAGACTGGGGGCGAATGGGATTGGTTATCATTTTTGACTTGTCTTGTGGGTTGTTGCTTTGTGAGTATGTTTGTTGTGGTTTTTTTAAGTTTTTTTTGGTTTTTGTTTGTATCTTTTGCCCATATATCCATCCCAAGTTTCCGTCTATTATCTCTGATTGGTAGGGGTTACTTGGGGACAAAAGGATATATGGGCAAAGTTGGGTTACTTTGTTTTTTCTGTTATTCTTGTGTTTCTCCCCCAATCTTTGGGGGTGCAGTGATAGGTTATGTTGGTTATGTATTCGTTTAATTATTTGTTGTTGGGTATGCCTAAACTTGTAAATTTCATTGTCTTTATTTTATGACTTACTTACCCAAAAAAAAAAAAATATTGGGGGTTATCTCCTCATCTTGAAACAATGAAAGAGAATGATGAAGCTTGCCAAGGAGAAATCCACTAAAATCCCAGTTTGGGTGAAATTTTTTAATGTCCCCCTGGAATAATGGGACCCTGATGGTTTAAGCAGGATTGCTAGTGCAATTGGTAACCCCCTCTTTATGGATCAGCTTACGGCTCGAGGTAGTAGAGTGGCCTTTGCTAGAATCTGTGTGGAGATAGAAGCTACATCAAAGCTACTCTCTTACTTCCAAATCAGGTGTGGTGATGATGCTGTCTTGATCAAAGCAGAATATCTGGGACTGCCTTCCGTTTGTCAACACTGTCAGATCTTTGGACACAGTACTGAGAAATGTGTTTCCAAACAAGTGGCCCAGTTGATTTCCTTGCAAAAGGTAACCGAAGAGAATGTTAACCCTCAGGAAGAAGGTTGGACCACTGTTCAAGCGAAGGGTAAAAGGAAGGTGGGGGATCCTGAGTTAGAGACTATACCTGAAGTGGTGGAGTCCCCTGAAATTACGGAGCCAATACCTACTTCAGTTGTAGAGCCTTTGGCTGCTTTAGCTCATACTCAAGTGGTACAGGAGGATCCGGCCGAGAAGAGCTCCTCTGTGGAAGAAGTAAGTTCTGACAGCAGTGATGTGGATAGATTTCAAAAGAAGATTTTCGAGATTACAGAGCTAGTTATACCTAATGCTGCTGAAATGTTAGAGTTAGCTCTGAAGGAGGTAAAGAAGTCACCTACTGTAGCTCAGGTAAACCAGTATATAAAGAACAAGTCCTCTGGCAAAGGCAGCAGCAGCCAGAGGAAGAAGAAGAAGTAACTAGTTTCAGTTGGTTGTGGTTTTTTTGTCATCTCTCCTTTTTGTATCCCAATGACTGTTAAAATTGCTTCATGGAATGTTAGAGGATTGAATGATCCCTCTAAACAAAAAGAAGTTAAGAGTTTTGTGTCTAAAGAAAATTTTCATGTCATGGGAATTTTGGAAACTAAAATAAAGCAAACCAATGAGAGGAAAATTTGTGAAAAATGCTTTGGTAAATGGTCTATGCTCTCAAATTCACAACCAACTGAAACTGGGAGAGTCTGGGTGTGCTGGAACAATGATTTTTGTGATCTTCAACTGATTTCCATGTCAAATCAGCATATTTTGTGTAAAATCCTTGACTTGGCTACAAATGAATATTTTTTTGCTGTTTTTGTCTATGCTGCAAATAAGCACACTTTGAGGAAAGTATTCTTTGATACAATGTTTAATATCTCCCATGCTAAATCCAAAGTTCCTTGTATTTTTTTGGGTGATTTTAATGCTATAAGATACCAACAGGAAAAAATTGGGGTTTCTCCTACCTGGACTTCTGAAAATGAGGAGTTTAATACTTATATTAACGCATCTGAATTGGCTGATCTATCTTATGGTGGATGCCAATTCACATGGGCTAATAAAAGGAGTGAGGGAGCTTTCATAGCGACCAAGATTGACAGAGTCCTGGTTAATGAGGCCTGGCTGGATAAGTTTCCTGAGTCTACGGCTACTTTTCTCCCGGCTGGTATTTCTAATCACTCATCTGTTGTGGTCAACATCAGTGTTAACAGTAGCTCCTTTAAGAAACCTTTCAAATACTTTGACTTCTGGTCTCAACACCCAGATTTTCTTAGTACTGTTTCTAATACCTGGTCTTCGTGGTGTCCCTATGTTCAGAATTTGTCAGAAGCTGAGACAACTCAAAGTCAGTCTTAAGCTTCTAAATAAAAAAGACTTTAGTGATCTATCCACTCGTGTCCTTATCTCTAAGGCTAGTTTGGATCTTGCTCAAATTAAGCTTGATAAGGATCCTTTGAACTGTGGGCTTTAATCTGTGGAGAGAGAGGAGTTGAAAAGATACATTGAGCTTAGCAATTTGGAAGAGTGCCTTGCTTTTCAAAAATCCAGAGTCCAATGGCTTGGTCTAGGGGATAGGAATAGCAGCTTCTTTTTTAGGTCTGTTAAGAGTAATATTAATAGAGGTAAAATCATGAGTGTGGTTATGGAGGATGGTACTAGGTCCACTAAGAATTCTGATATTCATGATACTTTTGTCCAGTTCTATACCAAGCTATTTGGTACCCCTATCTTGGGGGAGTACAATGGTCTTGAGCGCATCAAATCGTTGGTGAATAAAAAGGTTTCCAATTCCCAATCGACTCTTTTGGCTAAACCTATTTCGGATGTTGAAATCAAGGAGGTTTTTTTTTTTGGGTGGATAAGTCATAAAATAAAAGACAAAAAACTTACACCAAAGACAAGGGGCATACCCCAGGCCCTAACCCAAACACTATACAATAAACCAAAAGAAAACAAAAGCAAGCTATATACAAAGAAAAGACAGAAACTAAACTAATGTAACCATACATAATAAGAGACAGGCAAAAAGAGTGTTCATATGCCGCATGAAAATGTGATGAGGAATATGAACACACCCGATAGCAAGTAGCAAAAGTTGGAAACATAAACCCATGTACATCCCACATGGGAAGGCAAAATATCAACACAGTAAAGAAACAAAACATAAATGGAAGTCACTCTTCACACACGAGAGGCGCATATAGCAGCCATCTACACCATCATAGTAGCTCAAAGACGCCTCTTTCTTGCACCTGCGCAAAATCCAGCCTGCTCCAGACAATGAATCAGAACTAATAACCAAAACGACCAAACCTCCATACCGCAGCATCCTCTTAAATAGATTGCTGCCGAACCGTATCTAGACATTGTAGTAGACCCTGTCAACCAGCAAATACTCAACAGAATTAAAAGCTCATCAACAGGAGAATATACAAGAATCAATGACAGATTACTCAGGACACCACACATATATATGCTCACTACACTCAACCCACAATTTATAAACTCACATCACTCGGAAAATAATGCTCCTTGTACCTGCAAAAAAGAAAGAAGTCACAGGTGTTGCATAAAAATATGTTAGTTTCTCTCAATGTGGCTAGTGATATTGGGGTGGGTGATCTATTCCTCACACTATACTCGGCCCTCAGATAATGGGGCAAACACTCAACAAACAACTTGCCAGCCACCCAGGTACCTAAAACAGTAGCAAACAATTAGGAAACCCCACAATATATTTGCTAACCATCACTCAAGGAGGTTTTTTGGTCTCTCAAAGCCAATAAAGCTCCTGGCCCTGATGGGTATTTAGCTGGTTTCTTCAAAAGCTCGTGGGATATTGTTGGGAAGGAGGTTACTCTTGCCATTAAGTCATTTTTTGACTCTGGTAAACTCTTTTCGGAGATCAATAGCACCATCATTGCTCTTATTCCTAAAATTCCTAATCCTATGAATGTTGGTGACTATAGGCCTATTTCTTGCTGCAACACCATCTACAAATGCATTGCCAAGATAATAGCTAACAGAGTCAAATTGGTGCTTCCTGATCTGATTGATCTTGTGCAATTTGCTTTTGTCCAGGGTAGAAGAATCTCGGACAACATCTTTCTGTCCCAAGAGATTATGAGGGGTTACCACCGGAGTTCCAAAACTCCGAAGTGCGCTATGAAAGTGGACATCATGAAAGCCTACGATACTGTGAGATGGGAGTTTATTATTGATATCCTCACTGCTATGGACTTTCCTCCTTGCATGATAAATTGGATCAAAGCTTGTATGACTAGTCCTTCTTTTTCCATTTGCATTAATGGTAGTCTTCATGGGTACTTTAAAGGGGCTAGGGGCTTAGGCAAGGAGACCCTATGTCCCCTTATCTTTTTGTGTTGGCTATGGAGGTTTTGGCTAGAATTCTTGCTGAAAAATCTAGAATCCCTCTTTTTAAGTTCCATTGGAGATGTGAGAAGACTAAAATTGTTAATCTGTGTTTTGCTGATGACCTTATGATCTTCTATAGAGGGGATCCGGGGACTGTTAATCTCATCATGCAAGGTTTGGAGGAATTTAGGAACTTGTCCGGTCTCACTCCTAATCCTAATAAGAGTAATATTTATTTTTCCGGGTGTAGTAGTGAGCTTAAAGCTAATATTTTGCACATTGCCAAATTCACTGAGGGCTCCCTCCCTGTGAAATATTTGGGTGTGCCTTTGATTACCACTAAGCTTAGAGCGTCTGATTGCCAAACCTTGGTTGATAGGATGACTAAAAGGATTAAAAGCTGGACCAATAAATTGCTATCTTATGCTGGAAGAGCCCAACTCATCCAGTCTATTCTTTTCTCGATGCAAGTTTATTGGTCTTCTATTTTTATTCTCCCTAAGAGGGTTATCCGCGACATTGAAAATCTTCTCAGATCTTTCCTTTGGTCTGGGACGGAGTTGAAAAAGCATAGTGCTAAAATTGCTTGGAAGCACATTTGCAAAAAAAAAAACTGAGGGTGGGCTTGGTTTTAAGGATATGGAGGTTTGGAATAAAGCGGCTATAGCCAAACATGTTTGGTATTTGTTTTCGGGTGGGGAATGCTCAATGTGGTGTCAATGGGTTAAGTCCTACTTACTTAAGGGTAAGAGTTTTTGGGGTATTAAGGTGCCCAGTGATCCCTCCTTGGTTTGGAGGAAACTTTTGTCGCTTAGGGATTTAATTTTGCCTGTTATCAAATTCAAAATTGGTAATGGTGAAAATGTGTTCCTCAGGCATGATAACTGGCACCCCTTTGGTTCGCTTTTGCTTCGGTATGGTCCTAGGATTTTGTATGATACCAACCTTCCTGACAGTTCTAAGGTTAGTTCAATTATCTCAAATGATTCTTGGAATTGGCCTTTTCCTAACTCTTGGGAGATACAGGAATGGATTGCTGCCACTCCTCCTTCTCTTAAACCTTCCCTTGATTCCCCTGATATTCCTGTGTGGAGTTTGACTACTGATGGCTCTTTTTCTATTCACTCTGCTTGGGAATGTTGGAGGGACAAGGGCCCAAAGGTTACTTGGTCTAATCTCATTTGGGGTCCCCCTGTTATCCCTAGGGTTAGTTTCATTGTGTGGCTGGCTATCCATGAGAGACTTAACACTAGGGATAGGCTCCAAATCTTTGGTCTTCTTACGAGCCCTAGCTGCCCTTTATGTTGTGCTCCTGAGGAGAACCACTCCCATCTATTCTTTGGGTGTCTCTACTCCTCCAGGATTTGGGCTGTTATCCAAGCTAAATGTAATTCCCATTGGCCTTCTTTGCCCTGGTTGGAACTTGTTGAGTTTGCTACTAAATCCATCAATGGTAATTCTCTGAAATCTGTGATTATGAAACTCTCTTTTCTCTGCACTATCTACCACATTTGGATGGAGAGAAATAGAAGAATCTTTAGTAAGGTTTTCAAACCTGAAGAGGTTGTCACTAACTCTATCATCCAAATGGTTAGGGGTAGACTCCTTTCTATGGAAAATGTGAAAGCTTATGCAGGTGACAATTGGTATTTGGAACAATGGAACCTGCCTTCTAGAATCCTGTTGCAGTCCCAAACTGCTGCAGCTGAAAGGAATTTGAGTGGTGTAAATTATCCTACATTGAGGGTTGAATGATGGTGAGCAGATAAGGAGTGTTTTGCCTAACAAATGGTGCTGTCTTGCAGATGGTTTTATTCTCAGATTCTATCAGCTATTATGGATCCCAAATGTTTACAAAATCTGGAGCCTATGAAGGAAGGGTTGAGGGATGTGAGCCAGTACAGATGCTATTGTAAATGTGGGTTGAGTGGGGGGAGGAAGTACATATATTTTAGCCTAACATGTACTATATATTATATATATTTTGTGCAGGTTTATGGAATTCTCAAGTACATTGTTCAGCTGGCTGGAATGAGAGAGCACGATATATGTGGGCCGAGTGATGGGAGATCTTACTTTTTGGGTAAGTAAGTCATAAAATAAAGACAATGAAATTTACAAGTTTACAAGGGGCATACCCCAGGCATACCCAACAACAAATAAATAAACGAATACATAACCAACATAACCTACCACTGCACCCCTAAGATTGGGGGAGAAACACAAGAACAACAGAAAAAAACAAAATAACCCAACTTTGCCCATATATCCTTTTGTCCCCAAGTAACCCCTACCATCAGAGATAATAGACAGAAACTTGGGATGGATATATGGGCAAAGATACAAACAAACACCAAAAAACTTAAAAACCACAACAAGGAGTGGTGGCTGCTAGTAGCGCCTTGCCTAGGCATTTCAGTGGGTTTATTAGCTATCTTTATTTCTTTTATTTCTCTCCTGCTGTGAAGGAGTGGTGGCTGATTGCTATTCAGATTTGGATGGCTGTTGGCAGGGTGTGTATGTACCATAGTGATGGCTGCTTCAAGTGCCTTGCTATGCTACAAATGAGAGCAAATCAGTGGTCTTTACTTTTATTTTTATTTGTTCATAGTTGTAGTTTGCAGCTTGCCTATTCCTACGGGTTGTGTAGGAGGTTTCATGTGTATTTGTGTATCTTGTGTAGCAGGTTTCTTGAGCAATTCGGTAGGATGGGCCCCTCTTGGTACATCACTTCGGCTTGCTTGAGTTACAATTTTTGTATTACATTTATTTTGTTACAATTTATTTTGTTACAGGTGCCTAGCTTAAGTTGCCTAGTTTAACTCAAATTAACCTTACTTAGCCTCTAAGAAATAGAATTTTCTAAGTAATATTAGTTTAACGATATTATTTTTGCTTAATCATCTCATTTAAGGTTTTCTAAATAACCTAAGTGTTCAATTCTCAAGTCCAAAAAGATGAATCTTAAATTCCCTTTGATT